CAAAAGGCCAAAAACCTGACCCACCACTAGCCACTCATTCCTGCCCATGTTTTCCCCACAATAACCCAAACCCATATGTCCAAAACCACCCATAATATTGCCCAGCCATGTTTCCTTTTATTGGCCAAATACAACCCCTCATTTTTACACAAATAATAGCCTTAAGAGTGGTTATCTTAAGTGTGAGTTTTAGGTTCTAGATATTTGATTAAGTGTGTCATATCTTAATTAAATTCTAGATTCAAACCCCAAGTAAGGATAAGAGTGTGTAATATCTCTTAATCACCAACTTGGTTTATCCATCCCTGATTTTCTTCCATTCCATATCTCCCCATTTCTCCTCTTAATCTTACTCTTTTCTTCCATTAAAAACACCCAAAAGAACTCCTTTATCATCTCCATATATTTCCAAGCCATTTCCCCACAAAACACCCTTTTTCCTGCCCAGAATTCTGCCCAACAATCGATTATCTTGATTGACAATCGATTATCCATCATCGTTGAAACACCTGCAGCCTTCAATAGTCGACTGTCCACTTTAGACAATCGATTATCACTTCCTCATGAAATCCTGCAGCCTCTAACAGTCGATTATCACTCATTGTCAGTCGACTATTGGCAATCCGAAGAGTAGCGTACGTGAGACCCTCATAGAAGAAATCCATGCAGGCGGCCTAGCTGGTCATTTTGGAATCAACAAAACCTACTTGATGATGAAGGAACATTATTTTTGGCCAAAAATGGAAAGAGATATTGAACACTTTATCAAGAGATGCCACACCTGCCACCTCGCGAAAACTCATGCTTTGCCACAAGGAGCACACTTACCACTGCCCGTCCCTTATGCTCTATGGGAAGACATTAGCTTGGACTTCATTACCGGACTGCCCCGAACTCAAAAAGGAAAAGACTCAATCATGGTGGTAGTGGACCGATTCTCGAAGATGGCTCACTTCATTCCGTGTGTCACCACCTACGACGCGTCACAAGTGGCTGATCTCTATTTCCGAGAGATAGTTAAACTACATGGTGTTCCCCGAAGCATGGTCTCGGATCGGGATCCGAAGTTCTTAAGTCATTTTTGGATGACCCTTTGGCGGAAGCTAGGCACGAAACTCAAGTTCAACTCATCAAGCCACCCGCAAACAGATGGTCAAACGGAAGTTACAAACCGGACACTTGGAACCCTTCTTCGGGTACTAATCAAGAAAAACATCAAGCAATGGGAAGAGCTTTTACCACATGCTGAGTTTGCTTACAACAGGACCTCGAACAAAACAACTGGAGTATCCCCGTTTATGGTTGTGTATGGCTCGAACCCCCTCACAATATAGTTGGGAAGCTGACAAACGATCCAAGGAGATTCAAAAACTACACGGAAAGGTTCGAGAGAAGATTGAGGCAATGAATGAAAAAGTGAGTGCACGCATCAACAAAGGAAGAAGGCTCACGAGTTTCCAGACCGGAGATTTAGTATGGATTCATCTCAGAAAAGAACGTTTTCCAACAAAACGCAAGTCCAAGTTATTGCCAAGAGCTGATGGTCCATTCGAAGTGGTAGAGAAAATCAATGAGAATGCCTACAAGATCAACCTTCCTGGAGATTATGGAGTCTCGGCTACATTTAACGTTAAAGATCTCAGTCCATATTTTGATCCTGAAGAAATTCCGAGTTTGAGGTCAAACTCTTCTGAAGAACGAGAGGATGTTGTATCCCCTAGTACTACACATGATCCTCAAATCCTTAAACAAATCAGTGGAATCATGTCTAAGTGTTACGATCCTTTCTGGAATGAATTCTCCAACCCCAAACCACATTACTTAACCATGACAACCTTGAGCCTATCTCCACCCTAAAAGAGCCGTATACCCTGCCCCATAACCAAGCCTAAAACACAAAAAAACGAAACACACCAAGCTAAAAAACCATATTTCATCACCCAACATCCTACAAACATTGTCCCCCTCTTGTCCCCTAGTATAGCCGAAATAACAAGCACAACAAGCCAATGGATATTTTTGATTACTTTGACCTTTAAACCACCATAAAAACCACCATATAAAGGCCATATTTCTCACACCCCACTGTCCCCCACTATGGCCGAATGGATCACCCCCCAGCCACCAAATATTCACATCACTAGCCAAGCCAAAATACCCAACACATCACCCATCCATTTTGCCCTCTAATATGGCCGAAACCCCCTTCCATCCATGAATATTCATTCATGAATCCTTGTCCACATTTTCCCTGATTTTATTCCATGAAAGGACTCAAGCACATGGCTGCATTTTCTAGGATTTGTGGAAGAAATAGCTTAGTATTTTCCTTTGTATGAGTGCCTTTAAATTTCGGCCATAGGCCTATTGTAATGCTCAGCATATTATTCTTCATTTTAAGATAGAAATACACTAGTTGTATTCTGTTTTCAAATCCTAATTTCTATATCTTAAGGTTGGTTTCCTTAAGTGTGAGTGTTAGGTTCTAGTATTTCATTAAGTTTGTTATATCTTAATTGAAGTCTAGATTTCAACCCCAAGAAAGGATAAGAGTGTGTTATATCTCTTAGACCTCCTTGGTTTATCCCCCCATTACTAAAACACTTCCTTCTCGTTTCCTGAAACTGCCCTATAATCGATTACAAGCTTGGTAAAATCGACTATCCACTTACGAGAAACATCTGCAGCCATCAATAATCGATTTACATATTTTTGTAAATCGACTATCGCCCCTTTCTGAAAATCTCCACCAAAATCCCTCGAGAAGCCAAACCCTTCAATAATCGATTATCTCTTCAAAGATAATCGACTATCACCCTTCCTACAATCTTACCACTGTATCCCTCAAAACACCCAAAGCTTAGCAACAACATTTCCATCAATAATCGATTTACATATCCTTGTAAATCGACTATTATCCCTTTCTGAAAATATCCGCCAAAATCCCTCGAGAAGCTGAACCCTTCAATAATCGATTATCTCTTTTAGATAATCGACTATTCCCCCCTCCTGCAATCTTAAAACTACTACACCCATAGCTAAGATACAACAAGCTGTTTGAGTTTGCTTCCAATTCCTCCGTAATCCCGCCCTCAAATTATCTAAATGATAAGACCCCCGGTTCGGGTATAACATGTGGTACCAGAGCTCTTTGTTCCTACATCCCAAAGGACCAAGAACACCCTTCCACTCTTTCTCCTTCCTTCATACTAGCTACTACCCTACCTTCGTTCTTTCACTTCCTAGTTCAAAACATGCCCTACCTTCGTTCTTGCACGTTCCCTTCTGCCCGAGATACCGGGTAATTTGCTTCCCATTGACCAAAGCATTTGCCCTCTGAGCACCATATCTCTCACGAAGATGGGGATTGCAAAGAGGCGTCGAGTAGAGGAGAGTGACAAGCCGCCACTGGATTTCTTTGATGGGCTTGATACCACCGTCCATTCTCCCACTCCAGATGCCACCACAGGGACGTTCGTGGCTGGGGGTTCTTCTTTTGTTCAGCCAGGGACGTACATAGCTTCGTCGAGTGGCGTTGAGGCATCCATGCTACAGAAGATCTTGGAGGAGATGACGAGACTGAACACAAGGATGGGCGCTATCGAGACCAGCATCCAGGACGTGAAGGACATCATGTAGAATGACCATAGCGCCCATGAGAAGCAAATGAAGAGGATGAATGAACGCCTAGAGTCCCACACTGAGAAGCTCCATGAGCTCGAGATGCTGCTCGGTAAGAAGTCTGCGCCTACAGCTCCTTCCTCCAGAGCCAGCCACCAGTAGTGAAGATATTTTTAATTTCTGTTGATTTTAAACAATTTTATTTTGACTTGGCCCGTTTATTTTGCTACTCTAATTTATGCAAACTTTTATGGTTAATGCTTGCACTTTATTGTTTATTTCAAGTGTGAGGAGGAATGTTACCCCTGTTCTTTGACTCATCTCTTGCATCTCGACTACGAGGATGTAGTTCGATTTAAGTGTGAGGAGGTAGAGTTCAAGTATCAGGTATGATTTGTTGTCTCACTCTTGTAATTTTTGATACACACTAAGTTGTAGTCATATTTTTCTCTTACTCTTTCTCTTCCTTGCTATTTTCCTTTATTCAAACTAATTAACTTGTTTCTTATTCATTAAGTGATGCACAAGTGGGTTTAATGGTTGAGAAAGTTAGGGATTAATAACTAGTAGTTTGGATTTTTGGAATTTCTCCTCCGTCATCATTTTTAAAAAAATGTTATGATGACTATTCAGATTGCGCTTAAGTGACGAATTGGGAATCCTATCTCCGTAAATGAGCTCTGCTTCTCCCGTGAATCGCATAAGGTGAGGGAGCAAGTATGCAAATAAAATGGGATAAACCCACAATCTCAATAGTCTATTTGCATTATAAGTGAGTATTCTATCTCCCACGGAGCTCTGTCCAAAGGAAATTGATGAAGAATTATAAATAATAATATCATAAGGACATTTATGGGATACTCACGGATTTAATTGAATTAAGTCATGACAGAGGAGTGAATTCCCTAAGTCCAAAAGCTATTAGGTTTTTAATCCTTTGGGAATTGGTTAGAGAATGAAATCTTGTGCATCTCCTAAAGATTTAAGAAACAAGTTAGTTTTTTTTTAATAAAAGGAAAATAAGTCAAGGAATTCCTAGAGGTAAGAGAAAGATGTATGATTATTAACTTGATGTTGCTCTCGAGAATTCCGAATTTGATAGTGAATCATGTCATTCCTTGAGTTGTTTTGCTTGAGGGCAAGCAAAGTTTAAGTGTGAGGAGATTGATAAAGTCGTTTTATACATAATATTATCCTCACATTTAACACATTTTTTATAACTTTTCATCTTAATAAAGAATAACTTTTCTATTAAAAGTCATATTTCTATATTTTGGAGTAGTAAAATTGAATGGGACAAGAAAAGATAGAAATATGTTTGATTTCAACAAGAAATTAGTAATATTTTCCTCTTGGAATGGAATTGGAAGTTGGAGCAAGAGAGAAAGGTGTTCAAAATCAATTTTGAAGCAAAATAGAAGTTAAGGAGCCGAGTGCATGACAGACGACCAGACAGGCGGCCGCCTGCCAAGCATCAGCAAACGGCGAGGGTTGGCTCCGGCGGCAAAGCAACGCGCAGACAACGAGTTTGGGCTCCGGCGGGGCTCGCAGGCGCCCGCCTGCCTACCCGCCTATCGGTATTCCCGAATGTTTGCGCCTCCAGAATCTTCCTCATTTCACGGCGGTGGGCTGACAGGCGGCCGCGTGTCTGCCCGCCTGTGTGGTCTGCTCGGGTATAAATACCTCACTCGGCCATTTCCTTCATCACCATCCAAAAATTCCACTTTTTCTCCCTTCTAGAGTTTGAGAGTTCTTCCTAAACGTCTTAGAGTGTTGATTTGAATATTTGTGTGATTTGTATTCCATTCTTCAAGATCTGTAAGCTTTCTTGTACACTTTTTCTTTATTAATAAAATTATCTTTTATTATTTAGTTTAAATTGTGTGCTTATATGGCTTTTAGTGGCTAAACTTTTACTAAGGTATGAATTGAATTAAGGGTATGGGCTAATGATTATTAATTAAAATTAAGTTAGTGACTTGGTTAATTGATTTATTTGTCTAAAATGAGATTCACTAATTAATAGATCTGGCCAATTTATTAATTAATCTTTAGAGATTATTTGTCTGGCTTGTCTATGAGTTAGGAAAAATAATCTAGCCAACCATATTTAGACACATTAATGAGGCCTAGAAATAGGATAAGTTAATGATATAAAATCTAATTAATCAAGAAGTTAATTTAATCTAAAATTATTACCTTAGCCCATATACCTGATCGATTCATACCTATTTCGAAATCATTGATTGAATTAATCATATTATTGCTATTATCTTGCTTTAAACATGATTGCTCTAAGTTCAAGATTAATTGTTCTGTTAAATTAAAATATCAAGTTAATTAACAAATACTTCCCTTTGCCAATCCTTGTGAGATGACCCGAGTTATTTTCGGTTAATTTATTGACTTACCACTATATTTAGCCTCGTAAGGTACTTAGTACCAAACTGTTGGAACACACTTTGTACGATAAACTAAAGTCGTGTTCATTTCTGACAGGTTTTGATAATTGCCAAACCGCCGTGGATATGAAGAGTTTCGTTGAATAACTCAAGGCGTGAAGAATGGCTTGGAACAAGACCAAAAAGACTCAAGGACAAGATCAAGAATGGAAGACTTAGTCGAGTCGGTCTTTTGTGATCAAAACCGACAATAAATTCAAGTCTCGGTTCTCAAAAAGTCAAAAAAATTTTTACAAATCACAAAATATTTTTTGTGCATCAAAACAAACATTTTTGATGATTTCTTCTATTGTTAAAATCCCTGGTCCTTGCTCAGAACCGAAACCACCTAAGTCGGCGTTCGCTTTTTGACGCCCAAACCAACTCCGTGGTTTTCAATATTTTAAACCCTGTTTTTACCTCTGAGCATTTTTAAAATGTTCCCAAATAATTATTTTATAAAAACCACTTTTGTATCTTAGTCAATCGGTCTAACACGTGAAAAATGGTCAAAACTGTATGCACGTGATGTACAACCTTGGAGACTTGGTTTTTACCGAACAAGTCTTGTTTTCACTATTTTATACCATATACAATGTTTTTCAAACCAGGTTTTTACTTTTGGGAACACTTCGTTTTTGGACCTCGGTTTTTCAAAACGGGTTTCAGCTAGCTAGACTTTAGCTAGGTGAAAATCGATTATCACTTTGGTGAAAATCGATTATCTGCCTCTGCAGCTTTGAACTCCAAAGTTCTGAAGCAGGCAATAGTCGATTATCACATTTGCAATAATCGATTATCAGTCTGTGCAGCCAAAACCCAGAATCTTCTGAGAGGACCAATAGTCGATTATCACTTGTTGACAATCGATTATCTGGGTTACCGTTGTCCTCCAACGGATAGAATTTTAAATTTTTGGATAGGGAATCTTTGGATAATCGATTATCAACCTTTGACAATCGACTATCACCCTGTGTCTATGAAAAAAATTTATCTTCATCCTGTTGGAAACTCTAGCAACGGGTTTATCCCATTTTGAGCTATAAAATGGAACCCAAATCCTCTCATTTTACACACAATTCTTCAACATTTCAATACTCTTTCATTGAATAAGCATTCTTATTTTTCTTAGCTATTTGAGAGCCAATTCTTGAAGAAATTGTCGTGTTCTTGAGCGTTTACTAGTTCACTCATATCTACTCTTTGTGAGAGTTTTATTCCTGAGTGTTTAAGTGTTTTCATACACTTTAAGGGAGGTTGTTCCCTTGTTGTAAACTCGAAGGAAGTTCGTTGTTCCTTTGTGAGAAGTCTTGGAGTGCGGTATCTCCGAGCAAAGGCGTTGAGGCTCGTGTGACTCGGGTTCTCAAGTTGTATCGGTTTGTTAAGCACCCTTAAGCTTAACGGAGTTAGTGTAGCTCGAGAGAGTCTCTCGGGAGGCTGGATTAGACACACGTTGTGGTGAACCAGGATAAAATTCGGTGTGCTCCTTCCATACGCTCTTTACTTTAACGCTCTCATTTTAATTTCATGCAATTTTGTTTTAAACACTATTCACCCCCCCTCTAGCGTTGGGCCTTTATTCTAACAATTGGTATCAGAGCCTTACTCTCTGAAAGACTTAACCGTTTGAGAGAAACAATCAATGGCTTCTACTCAAAACTTATACGCAGGTTTAGGAGAAGGTCAATCCACCACGAGGCCTCCATTATTTTATGGAACGAATTACACATATTGGAAGGAGCGAATGAGAATTTTCATCCAATCCAACAACTTTCTCCTATGGAGAATTATCAAGAATGGGGAAGAAGTGCCCATGAAGAAAGTTGGGGAAACCACCGTTCCCAAAACCGAAGACGAATACGATGCGCAGGATATCAAGAAAATAGAGAACAACGCCAATGCTATCAACATTCTCTATTGTGCAGTAAATCCGGATGACTACCGGAAAATTTCATGTTGTTCCACCGCTAAGGATATGTGGGATAAGCTCGAAATCACGTATGAAGGTACGAATCAAGTCCGAGAAGCTAAGATAGATTTTCTAACCCATGAGTATGAATTATTTTGTATGAAGGAAAACGAGAAAATCGACGATATGTTTGAATGATTTTTAAAAATCGTAAACGACCTTCATGCCCTCAAGAAGACATATACGGACAAGGAGCTCGTAAGAAAAATCTTAAGGAGGCTCACACCGGAGTGGCGTTCCAAGGCCAATGCCATTCAAGAATCTATCGGCATCACCAACGTCACCATCGATGGACTTAGAGGTAATCTCAAAACCTATGAGGCTACCATTCTTTACCCCTCTCTAGGTGAACAAAAGAAGAATGGGATTGCCCTCAAGGCATCTACAAGCCAAGAACGTGCTATGGAAGACTCGAGTGACGAAGACGAGTTCGGGATCGTGCTCAAGAAATTCCATAAGTTCATGAGCCAAGAGTATGAACGGAAAGGAAAGAAGCAAGGAAGTCCACCCAAATGCTATGGGTGTGGAGAAGTTGGGCATATAAAACCAAAATGTCCAAACGCCAAGAAGAAGAAAATGTTCAAGAAGCACCGAGCCTACATCTCATGGGGAGGTGATTCCGGCGACGAGTCATCGGAAGGCAAAGAAAATGAGAGCGCCAACCTTTGCCTCATGGCACACAAGGAACCACCGGAAGAGGTATGTACCACTTCTAAAGATTCCTATACTTTTGGTGATGTACAAGAAGCCTTTAATGAACTTTATGATGAATATGTCAACGCTTCTAAAATTAACAAGGATTTGAAGAAACAACTTACTTCCATGGAGAAGGAAGTTGATAAACTATCAAAAGATAATGAAAAACTTAAAGAAGAAAATAAGTTTTTCGGAAAAAGAAGCGCCGACAAACCGGAAAGTTCAAAATGTAGTTCTTGTATATCACTTAAGGATCAAGTCGCAAAACTTGAAGGAACTTTGAAGAAGTTTGGTGTTTCTCATAAAAACCTTAATGATGTTCTTGACAATTTGCAACTTACTAAACATGGCTTAGGTTTTGAAAATGAACCTAATAATAAGGAAAAAGTTGAGCAACCATCTAGGAAACCTAAAGCTCAACTTAGGAATAATGAAAATCAAGAAAATAGACAACCTAGAACAATTGGGAACACTAGACCACCTAGAAAGAACACTAGGATGAGCAATGGTCAAGTTAGAAAACCTAGCAACTATTATCAACCTAGGAGAATAGGTTGATATAGGGTAGGTCATATAGCACCCGTGTGTTTTAGTAGGCATAGGCATTACACGTATAACAAAACACACACTTTGCATGGAACTAACCTAATGAAATCCTTTGAAAAAGGATATTCGAACTCTAACCAATCCATGCAGGAATCAACGCAAAAGAAACCATATTACTTCTTCTATTATGATGAAAAGAAGAAGATTCACATACCACTTCCGGAACCCACACAAATCAAACCGAGGTATAGACATTCGGTTCGAGTAGACTGGAACCCGCCAACCGCAAAACGACGAGTTGGCCAAGGTAACACTTAAACACGCATGTTGGTACATGTGTGTGTGTGTGTGCGCGTGTGTGTGTTTGCGTACCATGTGTATGTGATTATGGGTGTGTGTTTATTAGTTTAAAAAGTCATGTTACTAATCCTCAAGGACCCAAAAGACCAAACGGGTACCAAAATGTTTTCATTGTAGGCGTTGAAGTCAGGGGGAATGTGAAGAATCAATTTACAGGCTTGTGATAATCGACTATCACAACCCACAAGAGTTGGAGCAAAGAAACTGAAGGAGCCAACAATCGATTATCAACATAAGGATAATCGACTATCACTGCCCGCAAAAGTTTGTAGCAAATCAACCACAAAACTTCAACAATCGATTAATTCAAGTCATGATAATCGATTATATAGGACTGCAGAAAATTCTCTGAAGTCAAGTGCAAACTTCAACAATCGATTTCCAACAAGGAAATCGACTATCAAAGCCTGCAGTTTCTTTGGCGGAGAATCTGAAGACTCAAATAATCGATTTACGAGAAGTGTAAATCGATTTACAACGGCGATTTTTCAAAAATCTGACCGTTACAGAGACGTTGGAACTGCATTCAAGGCACCTTTCTGACTTCCCAAACGCATCTCAGGCTTCTTCCACTATATATTGGTGATATCCTTTCATTTTTTACTCACTCAAATCACAATTCCTTCATATATTCATCATTATTTGATCCTTCTTGCAATTATTCTTCAGTGTTCTTGCAAAATCGCTGCAAATTTCTCTTCTTTTTGTCTTGCTCTCCCTCTCTCTCTCTGTTGATATGGCAAGAGGTCAAAGAAAACGATCTCGCACCGGGAAGAACGTTGCTTCCTCCTCGGCTCCTCCTCCACCACCGGTGCACAAGTACCTCGATGGGTCGTTCCTTTGGTTCAACGACCGCGCAGAGGCGACGCAGTTCTCGGAGAAGTTTGAGCACCGGGAAATTCTCCCTCCCCGATTCTCCACCGCCTGCTTCATTCATGATTCCATTCCACGTGAGGCACGGGTTATCCTCGAACGTGGAAACTTCCTCGACCTCCTCTACATTAAGAAGGCTCATTATCACTCTTTTCTTGTTCGAGCTTTCTACTCGAACTTGAAAAAGGATGAGGACGGAGCGTTGATTTCTAAGGTCAACGGGGTGGACATCTATTTGAATGAGGAAAACATTCAAATCCTCACCGGGCTTCGTCGGGACGGACAAGATCTCGGGCTCTACGTCGGAGAAGAAGGAGCGCGGTTCAACGAGACCGCCCTCTTGGAGGAAGTGGGCATCCAAAACATCGTCCCCACTCACCAACAGCAGCGCCCTACGATTGCTTCCATGAGTCCCGTGTTTCGATTCATTTTCTATGTTTTGACACGGATTCTCAAGCCTAGGAAGTTCAATCACACCACTCTCTCCCAAGAGGACACGAAGACAATTCATGCGATGATTCACAACGCCAATCTCAATTGGGGTAAATTTGTGATGACTCACATGTTCAACGCCACCTCCGACAACCGGCCGCTTCCCTATGCTCTCCTTGTCATGGTGATCCTTGATGAGTTCCACATCAAGACGGACGTCGGGCCCAAATGCAAAGGAACGAAGCATTGGGAGATTGACGAGTCTTCCGCAGGCTCGTCCTCGCCGCCAACCGAGAGCCACTGCCTCGACCGCCGCCGCTTCGACCAACCATTCTCTTGCCGAGCAAATGGCAGCCTTGACCGCCACTCTCTCTCAGATTGACACCAACGTCTCCCAAACGGCCCAAAATGTAAATATTTTGAGCCGAGAGCTTCACGGGTACTTTGACTTTGTCAATTACCCTTACGCTCAAATGGTCCCCTACGCTCCTCCACCGAATGTCGGGGGTGCACCAAGCGGGACTAATAACGTTGGGGGAGATGAAGAGGTGGACGATAAGGAATAAGAAGAAGAAGAGGAAGTGGAAGCCGATGATGATGATGGCAGTGGTGATGAAGAGGAAGACGAAGACATTGACGAAGAACAGCTTCTCAATGATCTTTCACCGGACTTCTAGAGCTCTAGCTCTATTCCCTTCTCTTCTTTATTCTCTTTATGCTTTTTAAATTTGCTCCCGTTATGTACCCCGCTATCTCCCTTAATTAATTAATAAAAATCTTTATGGTTTTTGTTATTAAAAATCTTTTTGTTAATGTCAAAAGGGGGAAGATAAGGGCTATGCATATATTAAGGGGGAATTTTTTTTTCTTTCAAAAAAAAATTCAAAACCCCATGCATATCCCCGTCTTGTTTGCCATTATCAAAAAGGGGGAAATTGTTGGAACACACTTTGTACGATAAACTAAAGTCGTGTTCATTTCTGACAGGTTTTGATAATTGCCAAACCGCCGTGGATATGAAGAGTTTCGTTGAATAACTCAAGGCGTGAAGAATGGCTTGGAACAAGACCAAAAAGACTCAAGGACAAGATCAAGAATTGAAGACTTAGTCGAGTCGGTCTTTTGTGATCAAAACCGACAATAAATTCAAGTCTCGGTTCTCAAAGAGTCAAAACAATTTTTACAAATCATAAAATATTTTTGT